CATGACGTTTTCCCCTGCTCGTTTCCCCGTTTCCCCGTGTCGCCATTTCCATGTTTGTGCTACATAGTTTATACTTTATAGCACTTGCATATATAGGTTAACATAGAAATGTAATTTAATCAATTCATGAAACATATTTTTATTTGTACATGAAAACTTAATAAAAACACTATTAAAATAGAAAAAAATAAGGTGTTTGAAAATAAAATCAAAAGCTATAGTTTGCATTTTAATTAAAAAAAGGTAAATTACAACCACCCCTGAGGTATGGTCAAATTACGAAAACCCCCTCTTGTTTGGATAATTACAACTACCCCCTCAACTCCTCAAATTTAGTGGAATCTTCGAGATTATATGGAATAGTATCAGTTTTGTACCCGTTTTATCCCAATCGAAATCTACATTTTGAAGCAAGATGATCATAATATGTGTTTTTTGGCTTGTATATATCAGATTGTACTGTGGTGCCTCAGAAACTGTATTTTCACACAAAACGAGTACAAACTAGAGCACATTCCACGAAATCTAGATGATTATGTTGAATTTGACACCATAAGGGTGGAGGTGTAAGAAAAAATCATAGTTGAGATAGATGTAATTATCCAAACAAGAGGGGTTTTTTTGTAAATTGACCATACCTAGGGGGGTGTTTGTAATTTACCCTAATTTTAGAAAAAAAAAATTAATGGAGTATACCAACTTCCAGCTATTAACCCCATACGCTGACACTACATTAACACCTTCCAGGAGTGAAGTTTCAGACTGCAAAAAAACACAGATAAGACTACTCTCTTTAATAAACCCTAAAAATGGAGACACAGGGAAAAAAATAATCTGATGCGGACAGGTGCAGCACACCGATGCATCCACAACCGTTGGATGAAATAAAAGATAAAACTGTTCATATTCATATAATCCAACGGGCATCAGTGGAGTACATATATACTTTGCTTTTTTGGTACGACGACAAATTAATAAAATTAAATCTGCAAATATAATGCGTATTTACTGAGTTGGTTGAGTGGCCAACAGAAGGTTAGTAAATTATGCAATAACTTGGTGGTTATAATGCAGTGGTTGAACAGCTCTTATTGGCTGTAGCTTCACATAACTCTGCTACTCTCTCATAAATTAATTAACTATAATAATTTTTTTAATTATAATTAATATCTATTTGTCATGTGTATAAATAGCGATTATATTTAATTTTAATTGAATAATAACTAGTTAGAGGGGGAAAAAAAGATAATGTTCACTCTCTTGTAATTTAGTTAGAAATATCATTCTTGAACTTGTTTCAAAATTGTCCACTAATTGTTATAGTTTTGATTTTTGAATGAAATCAAGTAGTTAGTGTATAACATACATCATATTACATTTTTTAAATTGCAAATATTACAACTCTTGTGTTAATTATATATGTTAGAGTATAATTTGATTGACCCTTCATTTTCAG